AGCTGTAATCAGAGGACCAGTGACACTGCAGAGCAGGCAGGTTTTATTTGGTATGAGAATGAACAGCAAAATTTGGCCTGGGGCTAGAACCTGCCCAAAGATGAATGTCCTCCAATCCCAGCCGCTGGTGTGGTCTTTCTTCTGTCCTTCAAAGATGATTTGATCCGGGAGCGATAAGTTTCTGTAAGGTCTGGAGCCTGGTGAACACCTCAGGTGGCTGTCCCTAAATTCTGGGGAACTGAAGGGGAAACAAAGGAGTTCAAGGGCTGGTCAGACAAGTGGGCTGAGGCAGAAATGGGATTAAGGGAAGAGAAACAGAAGAGGCTTGCACAAAGCTTTCAAGAGAACTCTGAGCTTCTGAGGGGAGAGCTACATCCAGCAAAAAATTGGAGAAGAAGGAAGACATAGGGGAGTAATAAAAGATTTCCCCATTTGTTCCTTACCTCAGCAGGGAATTTAAGGTTCTTTTTGACATGAAGCCCAGAATTGTTCCAATTATTTAAAGATCAGCACCTTTTTTAAGTACTCTGATGAGCTATGCAGAAGACACAGTTGCTAGGTATGTTTTATAAAAAAGGATCTTACTGCTGTCAGTAAAGAACTTCTAAAACTAACCTTACACATATGTATATAAAACACGTAGGAGTGCACATCATGGGACACTTAAAAGCATTTTTGTTTGAAGGTAATTCCTTATGGCAAGGCAGGCCAGTCTGTCAGGAGCCACAGCTCCACACCACGCTGGGTCCCTCTGCTCTGGCAGCACAAACACGTGGCTCCAGCCTGATCTTTGCTGTGGTTGCAGTCATGGGTGATTAGTAAATCATTCCATCAGACACCAGGCAGGGCAGTACACACCGAGGGACATTCACCAAGAAAGAAGGAAAGTGCACTTCCGGGTACTTTTTATGTATGTTTTAGCCATTTTCCAATATTTCCTTTGCTTTCAACCTCTGCATGTCAAATGATAGCAAATTGCAAATGTACTAGTTCCAGCTGAGCACAACTGGGGGTGAAATAGCTTTTCTTTGAAGCTAGAGCTAGAGTCCACTTGAAAAGCTGTAGGGAGAGGCCCAGACATTTGCAAATGAGTAACTGAATTTCTGACCAGGTGATTTTTCAAAGCATTGTGATTCATGAAACGTATTTTCAGAGGAGCTGCATAATCCATTAGGAGAGCAACCTGTGAAAGGGATCATCCCCATAGCTAAGATAGCAATCACTAGGTAAACAGCTTATTAAAAGAATGTCATCATCTACCAAATCAGCAGAAAAGCAATATAGATCTTTATGAAAATATTTTAACATAAAAAGAAATTATAGCATTTTCCCCACTGATTTTCATATGATCATGGATCTCATTACGCATTTCAAGTAGGTTTAAAAGTACAGGATAAGGATCCAGGGCCAAATCCTTTTACATCTGAACCATGCCTAGGAGGAGATGGGGAGGATCATTCATCCCACCTTGGCTCCACTGCGTGTTGTAACACTCTGGGAGCACTTCTCATGTCTTGTTGCTGGTCTCACTTTTGATACTCCCTCAGCCTCTTACCTGGAGCATAAATGGGAATGCTGGTAGAGGAGCCGACAGCTCTGTGTGCACAAAGGCAATTTTCTTTTGGCAAATCAAGGCTTTCCAAGTGCAGTGTGTGTCTGCTGGAGCACAGTGCAGACACTGCCCCATAAATTTCGGTATTGCACACGTGCAAAATGTGTGTGTGTTTGCCTGGCACGGGCAGGGACTGAGGCAAAGGCAATCCCAGCAGTGGTGTGTGAGGGCGGGTAGTCAGATGCCTGATGGTTTACATATGTGGGCAGTTCCTGTGACCACACATATGAAAACAGAGATGAGAAATCTGTAGGGGTCCTTATGCAATCAGTTATATATGTACAATTTCAAAATAAAACATTAACTGGGGATAAAAATGGAGAGCTTCGATTAGCTTTTTATAGCACTTCTTTTTTGGCTTTACTCCCTGCATGCCACACAAACAGCTACCTCTCCAAAATTTTTCTTCATATTTGGGAACCAGTGGTGTAACTTCAGCACTTCAGGTGAAACTTGTATATGCCTTTGCTTCATAACCCCTCATTCATTTAAACAGCTAGTAGCTTCCAGCACTGCTTTATTTATATTTTAGAGTTATGGGTGATGTCAAATCAGCCTTGATGAAACAGCTAACTACTGCTCAGACTGAAAAGGGCTGCAGTAAAGTATTATTTCAGTGAAACCCACAAGCTTGGAGAATGCATATTCTGTAATTATTTAATAATTTTTCTTGCATCAGGTTTTGTCATAAAAGAAATTAAGACTCTTAAGGACTTTACCAGCAATGTGAGTTTATCCATGGACATAGCAGACCTGCAGTATTCTTATAGTCTCAGAAGGATTTTGGATGAGATCTATACCTCTCAATAAGTGTGCTTTCTTCCTCTTCCTTCCTCAGCCAAGCTACATTTCCAAATATTGGTTTAGAAATTGTAGTCACCCCAAGGAGAACCCACGAACTACATAGGGACAATATAAAATTAAGACGTTAGTGCCCCCATTTTAGATTTAATCCAGAAAAAAAATTCTCCTGCTTGACATACAGTGCTAGACATTCCAACTTGGGCAGAAACTGAGAGACACACACAAGTGAGAGTCCCCACTGACAGTCAGACCCTGTGGGCAGCAGGAGAGGTGATGCTTGGTACACACAGGGGGAAGGTCACTTGCCAGTGCTGCATGAAAAATAAACCTGTTAATTGCCCACTACAGCTCAAGATCCCTGATTGCAAGGTCAGTATTTAAAATATGTCATTACTCTCCTCAGTTATTGTCAGACCTTCTCAGAGTACTTTCCTTTCATCCAGCTCATTAAATATCAGTCAAAAAAGCAAAACATATGAAGTGGGAAAGAAACAGCCAGCTCACTACTGGAATAAAAGTTTAATAGAGGAGTGTCAGCTGCATTTCACATACGTGGTCAAATATGACTAGTGAAAGCCTGCAAATGTCTTCCTTCTCCCCTTCAAATATTACAAGTAGACTGTCTTTCAGACAGGCTTTAAACCTCAGGAACCATAAGTAATAGACCATAAAGCAGAGACCAAAGGAAAAAAAAAACCCTTTAAAATATTCTTCCTTAAAGCAAAAAGGTGAAAGAAGCAAAAGCAGTAGCTACAGTCACAAATTTCACAAGGAAACACTTAACATATGCTCAAGAACATTGCTTCCAGCTGCCCTAAGAACCTTGTAGAGAAGTTAGAACAAGATTACCTTTACTTCACAGTAACAACAAAAGCCGAAGAGTTTCCAATATTGGATGGTTATCAATTGGAAGAACTTTCCATCGAGTTTGTTTAAAAACATACTAAAGCAGAGTTTGCCTCCTTGATCTTATGCCTACAACTGCACTTAGCGACCAGAGGGGTTAAGATTGTAGGAACCGGCCGCTGATTTGTACTGCTGAAGTTCATGCTTGTCACAGCTCTGTTCTAGGCAGATGATGACCTACATATGAAAAAAGAATGGCTGGATAATACAGAAGTTATACAAACACAAGAGTTTAGGCTGTCACACTCATTCTGCTTGGGAAACATAAGGAGAGACAAGTGATTATCTGCTCACAGATTTACTTCTTTTCTACATGTTTTCCTGAGTTTCTTCTCCCCAGTTCCCTTATTATCTGAGCACTTCTCAGTGTCCTACTAGTGTTATCAAATAAGATTTAGTGACACTCATGCTAGTAATTTTTACATGACAGCTTAATACTCCCACTGGGTATTTTAGAGAATAGTTCATAAATCAGAAAAGTCAGAATTGGGAAAGGGCTTTCGGGTCATCCTCTCCATCCCTCTCTGCCATAAGCATTTCAAGCAAAAAAAATCCAACCAAAAAAAATAGCTGATACTTTTGCAGCCTAAAATAAGACTGAGAAAGAAAATAGAGATGCTCTGAAGTGCAATCCTGCAAATAACTATGGATGAACTACCTGATGGATTCCCTCATTTCACTGCCAGTTCTTTCCTTTTAGTTTTGTTGCTGCTTTTGTGGGATCAAAAGCAACTTCTTGCTGACAATGATCATGACAATGATCATTCTCATATTGTCTCATAAAGTATGATATATCATACTTTACTCAGTGTTTGTCTCTGACATTCATTCTGCATTGCAGCATACTGTCATTTGCAATTGTGGCCCAAGAGCACAACTGAGATTTCCAATTCCCTTGTCTGTACTGCCCAGGCAGTGACAGACAGATACACTGTAAGGTAGGCACCAGAGAACTGATGAGTAGTTATTGGTAATTAAAATGGGATGGTGGTACTAGAAACAATTTTCTCTCTAACCTACTGTCTTCAAGATCTACAAAGGCTAACTATGCCTTCAGAAGCACTGTTTGAATTATTCCTCTTCCCTATGATTATAGCCAATTCTGTTGGTAGAGAATTTACCTTATGCTACTTCATTAAAGCTATTCCTATTATATAAAAATTTATTGTTTAGCATGTCTATCCTTTCCCTGTAGCTGCAAAGCTGATATGCAGATAATAATGATCTGCTTTGTTATTTTGCATCCCCTTCTCCATCTCTCAAAGGAAGTTTCCTAGCAGAGCTCTAAGATCTTGGTCACAAAAGGCCTTGTAACAGATAGATTCTATGTGAAAATTTAGGATTCTTCTTGTCTTTGGTACAGACTGACTAACCTTGCTGGAAGACTTTCTTGTGACTTGTTGCCAAAAGACTAGTTTTCTACTAGTACAGGTTCAGCTCTACTGGCAAAGACAGGATCTCTTGACTGTCCTGTCTGTGGGTTAGATAATGTTTGCTGTAGCTTGTGCACTTGGCTAATGAGTTTTTGTTTAAAACAAACAAAGGCTTGTCTATGTTTTCCCTTTGCATCAGTAAACTATGGTCTGGCACTTGTTTTCATCAGTTAACTTCATATATTTCTTAGCTTCCTGGATAGCTTAGTAGAACCATGTGTGATAAACAGCAAAGGAGGGTTTTCCGTGGCTAAAGCTTTCTGTCATGTCATGCTCTGCTGTGAAATGAGCCCTGGGCTGCCCCTTGCCTGTGAGGCAAAGGGTCCCAGCAGCCCATATTGTGCCCAACACTGAAGCTTGTGCAGCCAGATTGAAGATGAGAAGCCATGCACAAAGGCTGGACAACCCTGACTTTCAATCACAGAAGTGCAGAGTACCAGTACTAGCAAATAAAGCATTGTCCAAGAAGCACAGCCCGAAGGCAATTCTGTCCTTAAGCACATGTTGCCATTTCCTCTCTGTGGCACTCAAGCTCTCACCCAGAGCCAATGCAGCATTTGTCTCTCCACATTCTTCAGTTTCTGCAGAGTCTGGAAGCACTGAGAGTCACTGAACTTCTATTGGTCCACTAAATCTGGGGGAGGAGGGATAAGATCCCGGGGGTTCAGCCGGGCAACAAGGCAAACATCATAACTGTCGTGCATGAGGACGTTGGTGGCCACCACATTCCACTGGTTCTCCCATGTATCCAGCTCAAGGATCTCTTTGGTGATAACCTCATGACGAGCTGAAAGACAGAGGCAACAACAGCAGGCATCAGGAGGCAAGTCAAACAGGATCAAAGAGGTTTTTGCAGTTGTTATTACAACCCTTCTGAAAGGGGGCAATAAAAAGGTAATTTCTGTGGTATGAATGACTACACTGTGTGAGGAGCACACAAGTTGTCAATGTACAGCAAATGAAATAGTGCAGATGGAGATCTGTGCAGTGCAGTCAGTCCTCACCCTCTGGGCTCCAGGTGCAGCTGCAGGGACAAAAGCATCAAGTGCTCCATCTTGGCACAAGTATGCAGGTGGCATTTCAGCCTGCAGTCAATTGTCAAATGTTCATCTTTTTGAGACAGAATATTGCCTCTTGTTCACAAGTATGCCTACATGCAATATATTGTCTTTTCTTTGCCCTGACTAAAATGCAGCTCTCAGGCTGCTGGAAGCACTCCAAGACTATTTTTTCCTTGGGTGCAAAGTCTGGACATCCTGTGATTTAGGAGAAATAAAAAACCTCCAAGGCTTTAAATGTACTTTAGATGGTCTGAAGTGCTGAGGAATTTGTCATGAACAGTCAGGTTAGAAGAATGCCATTAAATCACAGCCAATCTCCAGACAAGAAGCTTTTTACAGAGACTAACAAAAAATGAAAGAATCTCCATGCAGCAGAGAACCATAGCTGTCAACCAGCAGTGCTATATTAAACTTCTTACAAGACCACAAGCCCTTTCTCTGCTAACAGCAGTCCTGAACTCCACAACAATTGTTACTCAAGCCCAAGTTCTCTCCTAAAAATAAAAAGCGTCTTTCATTTCTGCCCACTTTTTCTTTTCATCTTAAAGTTGCTTTCTCACAGCAAGTAACCTTAGCCTAAACTTTTCTTACTTTGAGCTGAGGACATGCACGTGCTTTGCTGTCAGATGAGTTTCTGGAGAGATGCAAGAGAACAGACACTCCACAAATATCAGGATAAGAACCATAATAACAAAAAACCATTGAATACTCCATGCTGTTTTATTGAGTCATAAGAGACTGGTGACAAGATAAACTTTACAGGGTTCAGACTGAGGTTCCCATTCAGCTATCCCTTATAGAAAGCTTTTTTCTAAAATAAAAAAACAAACCAACAACAAAAACCTCCCACCACCACCAACGCTGTCTCATGTCTATCAACTGCACCTCATTGTTTGGGCACTGCCTTTGTGTGGAACTGGCAGCAAAGGATTGGAGAAGGGAGAAAGAGTGAAAAGCAGAAGAACATTCAGAGACAAATATTGTTTCCCTTGTTGGAAACAGACAACATATTTTTCCAGAGGACAACAAACCAGGGGATTTAGTGCCCCCAAACCAGTGCTGTCATGGTTTAGGTTCCATGCAAAATTGGTGTTGGTGTTATGATGATGTTGTGTGGTGAGATGTAAAATACCTCTCAGGCTTCTCTGTGAGGAGGAATTTCAGCATGTGGGGAGGTCACATGGAAACAAGACTTCTCCTCCTCCCAAGATTGACTTCCTTACTGAGTGCATACAGGACAGCTCTGTTTTCTGCAGGTCCTGCACATGCACAAGATCTGTGGATGTTGCAGTTTTATGAACATTTCTGCACGTTTTTGTCATGTTTATCTAAGGAAACCACTCACCAACCATTCACCATCTCTGTCCCCTCTGATAAAGAAGGGCAGCACATTGTTTCCACCCCACCATCCACAGCCTGTACTCATTTTGCCCTCAGTTGTGTCACAATTGGTTGTAATACAATTTTTGTTGGTCCAAACTCAGACCTCTGGGACTCTCACAGATCTCTAGGAGCTTGCTTGAGTAAAATTTGAATAAGATTTCATGATATAGTCATACCTGAGTAGTTTTGTTCTTTTCCATTCTGTGAAACAAGTTATGATGGTTTGCTTATTGAACCTGGATATCAAAGGAGAATAATAATAATAATCCATAGGAAGGGTGCAGCCATTCAAGATAGAAGACAACAGACTGCTAAAAAAACCCAGTTACATGTGAAGAGAGAAGGCATGACTGACAAACAGCAAACAAATAACCAGCCAGTTACCAGTACCAGCAAAGAGCTCACTTCTATATGACTCTGCAAGAGTGAAGAGGTTTTTCCTAAGAGGCAAATACAGACACAAACAGACCTAACCTGTGACATAGGAGGCTCCAGTCGCTGTATTTTTTTATTAGATCATCTCTTTCATACAATAAATTTTTATGCCTGGGTTTTCTTTGGCATGGATGATGACAAAAATGAGACAATCAGAGGAAAAATCAAACGTTGGAACCAAGACATTCTGTGAGTGATTACAACACTTCAGAAAAAAAAAACATAATTAAAACATCAAAGGCTTATTCAGCAACCCTTCCTTACAAGCCATACTGTGTTTTTTCCTGACCCTGGTGACTCCCCACCTTTGGTGCCCCATGTTTCCCTTTTCTGTGGGATGTTGTAACTGGTTTTGTTCCACTTTATAAATTCTGCTTTCCAGCACATGGAGTGTTAGTTAACTCTTAACCCTTGAGAGATAAAAAGAGTATGTTTTTTAAATAAGGGAAGCAATAATTTCTCTAGTCTTACCTTGTTTAATATGAAAGGAAACAGCACTCTTTAGATGAGAAAGTTCATGTGAGGAAAGACACTGCTCAAAATAGTCATACTTGAGAAAAAAAAAATACATCTTTTCTTTTTAAAAGAGAAATTAGTTAAAGCATCTCAGTTCTTAAGCCTTTTTTTTTAAATTATTTTTTAATTTTTCCTGGTAAAACCAATAGAAAAGGTGATGTTTTTCAAAGAGAATAGCACCTTTGACTTCAGGCTCTAATGTTATATTTCAGCTTTAAAGTTTTAAGCTTGAAGGTGCAAATAATTCATGATTCTGCTTCATTGATTCATCTTATTTAATTGTAATTTATTTTTTTAAAGGTAATGTGTTAGCAGCCAATTTGCTTCCAAGAGAATCATGGAACACCCACAAAAATAAATTGGCTGTATTACAGAACTTAAAAACTTACCTACTTAAAAAGCCACCCCACACAACTCCCTGTCATCGTAGCATTATTCTGCCTCACTTACCAGATGACCACCTTACCTAATAAAAGGATTTCACTAATTTTTTTCTACAAAACCAGGCAGTATTTTTCTGCACTTTCTTGTTTAACCATGAGAAGTTTTAAGAAACTGTCTTACACTGTGTTTTTCTGCAAAGGAGTTAAAGTGAGAATTATTCTGGTTGTACAAACCTAACTCTAGCGCATATCCTTTTCCAGCAGTAAAATTGTGTTTATAATAGTATGATTTATTCATACTCAGGAAAGGAAAATGTTAAACCAGCATAGGGAACATTAATCATTAATTTATCCCCACCAGAAACTATGGTATATTAAAAAGAGTCAGAACATTTTTGGTACAGTTATGCCTTTTGATGTGCAATTGCAGACTGAAGCTACACTGAGCCTACAAACTTATCTTTTCCCAGTGTCAAGACTTGAGTTTATACCTGAAAACATTTACTTTATAAACATTAAAATTGTATTTCATATATGCAAATACAGTAGTCAAAGCAAAATGAATCTTATCTTTAAATTATCTCTTATATTCTCGTCTGTAAACACAACATTTTCCTGCAATTTTTCATATGACTTTTTTCTTTGAAAGTGCAGAAGAAGAACAAAAATATTAATTTCCAGTAAGTGCCTGCCTGCACTCCCTATACACAATCATGCTTTTTCTTTAAAAGATTTTTATGATTCACTCCCCGAATATGGCCAGACTTCATTTTATGATGTAAGTTTTCTCATGTCGTTTGAATGTTTGATGAACGATTCTTGGAAAGGCCCCCAGTATGACTGCAGGCAACATAAATATTTGATCTGCTTTTTCATCTGGGTTTTTTTTCCCTTTTTTTCTTTTTTTAAACCACATTCCATTTGTGATTTGGAGGTTGAGGGGAGGAAGAACTTTCCATGTGACAACGGTATTTATTAGCACTTTTGTCCTTTTTTTTGACCTTGCTTTCTCTTTCCTATTCATAACCAAAAATTCAGATACAATTATTAGGGTTTGGATTGTGAGGGTTAAAGGGAGGCAGATGTAGAAGAATTAAGCAATATGCTTAACAGGTAGAAAATCCATAGTTCATCCAGGATTATTAATCATGCAGCTATTATGTTTGTAAGCCAAGAAAAATAAATTCACTGTGCTGTAGCCTGCTTAGTGTCCAGAGGACTGAACTCAAAAAATGTCATGCTGAAATTCCATTCACTGGAGCTAAATCTATGGCAAGTTTGCTAAAATGTGGTCAATATTTCATTATTTCTTCCAGAATTCCATTGACATCAGCTCGTATATTTGCTCCAGCTTATGAGTGAGGAAGCAGAGTTATGGAGATGGTGAGAGCATGTGCCAAGTCACGAGTCATGGTTCCTCTGCATCAGTGCAGGGCAGAGACATCTAAAGTAGTTTGGGGACAAGCTCACCTGCCCACTAGCAGTGACAGAACCACATTGACACACTCTTGGATGGCCAGCAGCACCTTAGCAGAGTAGGTCAGCATAGAACCAGAACCTCAGCACAGAACCACCTTGTGTGGTGGGAGTAGTCTCAGTGTCACATCTGTCCTTGAGCTCTGTACTCTGGGACATCCTCACACAGGCCACTTACCTGAGGTCCTCCTGACACTGTCCTCAGGTTGTCATAGCACCTTTTCCTTCCAGTTTGCAGTTTCCTAATATGCTCTGTCTTCTTTTGCATAAATCAATTTATAAAAAAACACACCAAACCTGTAGCAAACTGCTACCTCTCTGCTCTGCTCTTTCCATGGAAAAAAGCATTTGTACATCACAAGGTGCTTGCCAGTTCCCAAACAGTCCTCGAAATGCTTACTCAGGTGTTTCTTTCACTGGTTTCCCCAGTTCTTGACACATAAAGCCACCCCAGAGTTGCCTTGAAGCAGTTCAGCCTCCACTATTCATTTGTACCTGTTTTTTCATGCCATTATCTGTACCAAAGAATGATT